TTAATTAAATTGATTTTCAAATTAATATCGCAATACAGGAAATATATTAATATTACCAAATAAAAATTCACAAGAATTTTTCTTAAAATTTAATTTTGTAGGTAAATTCAAAAACATTTAAAGTTCTATTAGATAATTTTATTTAATTATGTAAAATAATATTTTATTTGAGGTTTTGATATATTTTGTTTTAACATCCACAGTATATTATAAAATGACCTAAGTCATCGGTCATTTAACTTTTAAAGTGACCTAATGACTAGTGACAAGTCATCAAAGTCATTTGGGTCATTTCAAGTCACTTGCCATCACTGCTTTGTATGACGCATAATCTGTATCAGATTCTTCAGATGAATCAGTTTCAGAAGAACTGGTCTCAGATGAACTATTTATGGTTTTTTTGTTACAATTACAATGCCTCATATCAAATAGTTCACCTACATCATCTGTTAGTCAGTTCAGATATTCTTAAACATATTTTTTGAGTTGATTAACTTTCTTTTTAAGCTTTCTATGTTGGGAATAAAAATTATCCAACCTTTTTACTAACACCCTATTTTCACGAGAAAATACGCTATCAGTTAAATGCTTTTGATTGGTTACCATTTTTATGATATTTTATATATGATATATCTTGCCTCAGAAGAAAAAAATAAAATTTAATAAACGATATCTAACTAGCTCTAGAGGAGCCTCCATCTATATGATTAGTTTTCATCGAAGAGTATGAATGGATTTTCTTGATCGTAAGGCACTTTACGAGGCTTGTAATTTACTATAGTATATCTTTGTGATGACACAGTGTTATTTTTAGGACTGTATTGAAGTGCTTGACTAGCAATAGTATTAGCTTTCGACAGATTCCTAATCCTACTCGCTACAACTGCAAACATTACTCCTAAGTTGTAAAAGAGCTAGAAAGTAATAGCTTATAAGATTTAGGAATAAATTCAGCTTTTTTCAGAAACGTACTCAAGATTCTAGTTCCAGGCGTTTCTGGATCCCCTAACTGTTCGGAAGTTATTGCTTTCTGAATCTATATAAGCAATTGCCTTACCCGCTCCTTGTTCTTTTCAAGTGATCTAAACACCTGAGGAATATCCTGTTGATCTCAATTTTTTACGTATCCTGTTACACCTCCATTAGATATACGCAAATTTTTAATTTCAGTTGAACAGATACAGAGCATGATCATTACATCAGCTAGGGCCTATTTATCGGGTATATTAGATACATCATACGAATCCAGTCTTTCCTTAACTGATTTTAATGAGAAGTAGTCCGAATAATAAAGTTCTTCATCTTCACATAATAAACTCCTCTTCTTTTGGATTTCGTTAGATAATCTGGTCATCTCTTGATTCTTTGTAGCAGAGATTATCACCTCTGAGACTGTAAGCTTCCACAATTCCCTTCGGAGTCTACTGAGACTAGATGTGCCGGCAACTGGATTAGGGGCTGACTCAGCTAATACCGTTGCTATAGCTTTTACTTCTTTTTCACCAAGGCTGTCCCACATAATACGCTGAGCCATTTCTCTAATAGTTTCTCCTTTTGGGATAATATCAGATACTTGGAAGGCACTTCTAAGACTGCATATATTTACTTTCACTTCTGATCCTCCTTCTTTGAAGACTACTTGATTTTTAGTTCAACCAGTTCTTTGAGAAGGTACCAACACAAATGCCTGTTCTTTGCTAAAGTTATACTCTTTTTAAAGATAATCACGAGCCTGACGTCTTTTCTCTCTATCTTCTGATAAGACCTCAAGTATTTCTGATGCATACTGACTAAGGTCTTCGAGAATCATTTCATTGGTAAGTTTTGGTCTTTAACAAACTTGGTTGTAATAGCAGACATGATGTGGTATGTAGATTATGGTGATAGTTAGATTTTTCTGATTATATTAAGTGGAATAAAGTTCAATTCGAAAAAAATATTCTGACATTTCACTACCACATGGTTGGTGAAAACTAACAGAGAATTGGAGAAGCGAAAAAAATAATGATATAACTTACGCAGGTTATCTATGAGACCATCCGCTCTAGCCAGGAAGTTTTATATCAATTTAAAAATTGTGAGTAGATAGGATAAGCGAAAAAAAAATAATAATAATAATTTAGAATTTTTTATCACTTATTTGTAAAGAACAAAAAGACACTTTTACCAAAATACCTCACTTATGCACAGCGTCTTTGGCTAAATCGGCTTCTTATTCGCTCTTTACCAAAGCATACCATTCTCCTAGAGTATGCTTACAGTTTTTTTTCATTTCTCATCGGTATCAAGCCAGGAGAATGTGATCCTATCTTCCTTGAGAGAACAGCAGATTATTTCTTCTCCTATCAATCTTTCCCTACTTTCATGTCCATATATTCTTTTGGATCTTCTTTCAACTCTTCTGCATAACCACACATTCATACATCAGTTTTCATCCTATCCCGAAATGCAATAGAATCGAGCCTGTCTTTTTCGGTGATGGTCACGAAGACATCTAAATCCTCTCCAAGTTCGACTAACCTTTTTCTGAGATGCTCTTTGCGCTGTTGTCTAGCTAGAAGTATAGCAGATGATACTTCAGTAACGGGCTTGAGAGAATCGGTTAGCTTGGCTGTCTTTGGTTTACCAACTACTGACTCAGGTGGTTCAAAAGTCTCAGATGTGCCAGATGTGAAGGTGACTGGAGCATGTGTATCTTCTGCCACATAGTCGAAAAAGTCTTGGATTGATTTATTCTTCTTATCTTTACTAGGCAATGAAGAATTATTTACCGGCTGGGACGGGATTATTTTGGGAGGAATAATTTCTGACACATTGAATATAAGTATGTCTGTAGTTTCATTCTGGGATCTCTTGTTTCTGGATATGTCATCTTGGGGTGTGTCAGAGAACTCTTCAATATCACCTAGACATAATTCACAAAGCCTGATCACGATTTTGAAGCAGTCAAGAATATAAAAGTATACTCTCACTCCATTATCTCATAAACGTATCTGATCAATGTGAATATCTGAAAACTTCTGGCCAAGAGTATTGTTAGTAAATGGCTTTTCACCATTTTCCCTACACCATTCAAGATAATTCTGATATAATGATGTACAGCTTGGTTTGGCTACTTTATCCTCACACCATGGGGAAATATAATTGATTATAAATCGAATAGGATTAGAAAGTTAGTTTCGCATTATATCTTTTTTCATTTTGGTTGCAGGAATTTTTCTTGGTCTCCAATTTGTTAAATTACGGCTAAGAAGATATGATATGACGACTCCTGGTGCATCGGGATGGTCAAGAATTTCTCCCAACCAGTCAAAATATGATATATCATCCCTACAGCATGCTGAGACTTCAAAACAGACTACACGTGAATCTCCTATATCTACTTTAAGTAGGGCATCATGGTTGCTTGTAATCATATACCCAGCGAAATTATCTAATTGCTTTTATTCAAGACCTTTACGTTCTATTGATACCTTTCTTTCTGTTATGAGTGATTTGAGATGTTCATTAAATCTATGCTATTCTCCACTGGACATTCCAGTTTCATTCATAACTATAAGCTTTCGGGCTTGAATAGCGCTATTAAAGCGTCCAAGGATTTTACCCAAGTTCAATGTTGCATAATGGAGATATTCGCATAGGATTTTATCACTAATAAAATCTGTGATAATATTTTTTCCGCACTGTTGTAGTGTAGACTTTAGTACTAAGATGATTCGAGGCTTCTTTTCTGGCTTCTGTACCAAGTATGCCTACCAGTTCCAGATATACTCATTAAGCTTATCATTTTCACTACAAATTACATTTTTTACATGCTAGAGGATCAGATCCATGATATCTTTATTAATTTCTGGTACCAGTTTAGCTAAAAACTCTAGGAAAAGGTTGAAGTAATCTGTAGTTGGCTGAGGAGTGCTTATGGGATATAGGAGGAAATTATAATCTGCGTAAACTATTAGACCTTTAATAATTACCTGATTTATCAATAATTTTAACTTTATTGATTCGCCTCCATACTCAATTACATTAATTTTGAAATTGGCAATCTTCAACTCAGGTTCTATACCAAAATAAAGTTCATTTTTCAGATCTTTATGTTTTAATATTCAGATTGGTTTATCCAATTGAATATAGGCAACCGTTGCCTAAATAGCTTCATATACTTTAGCATGAGAGAATTTCTTACCTGAAGTACACATACGTATTAAATTCCACCACACAAAATAGTCATTTGGGTTTGAAATTCTAGATTGCTCTAATTTTACTTGAGCTGGAAGGTTTTTTTCTCGGCTTAAAGCTGTCTCACTAAGATTAAGTTTTATTGAAGGCTTTCTTTCAGTGGCTTTTCAGGTCTGCACAGTAGCAGTAGAAACTATAAAATTTTTTATATCGAATAATATATGCATTTTCATTTGTATATTTCCAGTCACATAATAAACAATATGATTGGCTTATACGTTTGAGAAGAAAGACATTAGGAGATGATTCTGATGGAAATAAAAGGTCAAATCCTTCAATGCTAGCCTCTTCGAGCAATTTTTCTACTAGTTCAAGTTTAGCCTGACTGGTTTCGCTATTTGTATTATCAAATATTTGGACTTTTGGTTCTGGAATATCTAAAAGAGAACTTTTCACGACTTCTGATTCATCATTAGGTGGACGAATCATGAAGTCAAAAACAGAACCATCTTTTGGGTGAATAGCTTTTTTCACACGAACATATTCTCCAGTCTCTTCAATAAATTTGGGCGTTCTAAGTATCCTTAAAGAAAATGATCGTTTATTTGTAATGTTATCGATAATACTTTTTCCTTGCAACCCTTCTGAAAGTTTTTACAAACAAGTTCAGTAAACACTGCGACCTGAGCAATATTTAGAAGTCTCATGTCGTAAGTGAAGATATAGTATGATATTTTTTTCACATCACTACTGCTAGCAATGGTTATAGTTTTAGGATCTCACTTCGGGAATATCTCCAAACATTTTTTTTATAAGTGAACCTAACCTAATACCTCTTTGCGTGTTAGCTTTAGTTCGATAGAATTATACACTTCTATTGGTAAATTGAAATCTATTATAGGACGGAGTGGCTCATCACCATCGATAAACTCGTGTAGGGAATGCCTCTCATGATCTGAAAGTATTATTTCTATCTCATCCACATTGTCTGTGCCAAGGAATTGTCTTGGCCTAACACTATTATCGCAGATTTTGTATTGAGATGCACCTATATCAGAGGTTTTGAACCCACAATAGTATGGGGCGGGGCATCGAAGAACTCTGAAAGCTTAAATTGGGTCATAGTAAAATTTTCGGATATGTTATCTAGTATACTGTTTCAATATAATACTCTAGTAAAAAAGTTTAAAATAAAAAATAAATATTATTATAGACATCAAAAGATTAACTGAGAATAATACTAAAGATGGATGATTCTGATGATATATTTATTTCACTGATAATTATATTACGAAGGGTGAATATATTTGCCAGTATCGCTCTGATGAAGGGGAGGTTTGTGGGTAGAGAAGTACGTGACTAAAAGGGTATAGTATTCACTGGAAAAGATACCAGTGAGCTCTATACAAACGGGATGGATGTGTAAGACCGATAGCATCGAAATATGGATTTTGTAATTGGTATGTAAATAAGTGCTATTCGAAAGCATATTATCATCAGAAAAAGTTGGATAAGATGCTTCAGGATGAGCAAACACTGGAAGAATTAGAACAGGCCTTTGATAAAATATATAATACAATAGAGAGCTGGCCTTAGAAAGTTGTCTTTAGAAAAAATGTGGGAGACACTTCTAGGAACACTTCAAGGACGTTGGAAGTAGGCTTTTTAACACATTTAGAATTCTAGGAAGGGTTCTAGATAGGTATTCCTAGTGTCCTTAATGTTCTTAGGAAAAATCAAATCTCTTAACTTTTTATTTTTTAGCATATACAGTATATATTACATATATCATCTATATAGTATCTATATACTACTCATATAGCATACATATGTACCATAGGATAAGTTTTAAATTTTTTTCCTAGAACTTTACTTTTACTAAGGATACTAAGGACACTAGGGATAAACAGAGAAGAAAAGAATAATAAAGCTTAGGAACGTGAAAAAAGATATCAAAGCTGTCCCTAGAAAGCGTTTTCAGAAAAATTTCCCTAAGGACACTAAGGACGCTCAAAAAAAATAGCATACACACTGCTTTGATCTATATTAAACTATAACCGGGCCTCGGAAGTGCTTACAACATCCCACCAATATACCGATAACAAATAGGCAATAGTTAATGATGCACTTTTTGGCAATCAAATGAGCCGGGCTAAGATAATACATATTGCATCTCCAATCCTGAATACAAAAATATGTGACACAAATGCATATATATTGGTTTCTGAAAACATTCCCAGAACATTCCTGTCACTAACCCATAACTATGTGAGGGTATTCTGACACCAGTATAGATTCACTTAATTTCAACCAGCACTATTCTATAAATTCAGCCAAATCTTTGGATATAATGATTTAGTACCCAAGCTAGCATAAAACTGATTCAGAATTGGTAAACTAATAGAAGTACACTAGCTCCTTACCAGTTCTACGATAGTTCCATGACAACTCCAGAATACTACCAGATCACTATTATGACGCCAAGCTGGATTCTCAAATTACATACCCTAAAGATCAGCTGAAATTAAGGCATAATATTAGCCAAAATTAATCGCAGATCTACTGTGCCACCTAAAGATGGTACAGCAATTGATTTTAAATTTACAAAATGTTGCAACATAAGCTAAAATTAGTTGCAACATATATAGGTTAAAACTAATTGCAACGTAAGTTGCAACATTAAAAGTTGCAACATATTAATTACAGTTCCCATCTTTAGTGCTACCCAATACGATTTTTTTTACCATAATTTGGCATTTTAACAGGTAACCAAATAGGCGCAAAGGGTGAGCACTTTAACATGAAATCTAACACTCAATCAGGCACAGGAAACCAGCATTCTTGCCATAAATCAGGTATCCAAACAACTACAAAAGGTTAGCATTAACAATATGAAATTTGACGTGAGAATAGATTAGGAATAAGAAGAAAAGCGTGATAATTAGATTAAAGCATAGGTGGTATTTAAATTATAGTGTGATACTAAAATCATAGATAGGAGAAAAATTGCAAATAGCAAAAAAGGTTTAAATAGATAACTAGAATATGAAAATAGATAACATTAAAAGAAAGAAGGTAGGTTAAAGTGTGGTATTTAGGTTATGCATTTAGATTAAAGTGTGGTAACTAGGTTATAGCTATTAGATTATAGGTGGTATTCAGATTATAACGTAGTAATCAGATTATAGCGTGACAACATAACTTATAAATAATTAGTATAAGGAAAGTATATGGAAATAATACGTTTAAAAAACATATAACAAATGTAGATAAACAGTATAATAAATTCGTAAATATTTCCATATACAAGATACTGAAAATCAACTTTTTCTGTATGCAAAAACATACGGAATTTATACGTCTAATTAGTATATTGTATATGTAATTTTACATAGATTTTATACGTCTAATCAGTATATTGTATACGTTATTTTTGATTAGTATTTCCATATATTAGATACTGAAAATTGACTTTTTCCGTATGCAA